GGCCAGAGTTTGACACCTATGGTGTAAACTATTGTGAGACCCGGCAATAAAATATCTGTATCAGGACAGTTCTTATTGCTTTCTCACACAGAGAACATGCGAACAAAGCAGCTTGAGCTTGCAGGGAGAGGGTTTCAGAAACAGATACACAGCATGAAGGAAAGTAAACATTTTCTCCAGTAGTCTCATTTTTTCCCCCTCTGCTTCACCCTGTTATCTCCCCTGATTGTGTCTGTCTGTCTGTTTCTGGGTCTGACTCATGCTGAAATGAGAGTGTGATGTCATCCTGAACAATATGCTGTTTGTGCGAGTCCTGGGTGGGCTATCAGACTTCAGCGCTTGGGTGTCTTCTGGCTCAGACAGGTAGAAGATGTGCAGTGTTAATGTTCAGTTTTGTTTCACCTCTTATTCAAAGTTTAATGTTGTGTGCGACACGTATATTAAACTCAACTAGGCACAACAAGTCATTTGAATATAGATCTATATTATTATCTTGAAGTTGAAGTCTTTAGTGTGGAAATGAGTGAAATAGGAGCTCCTGTGTCTCACAAGCACAGACTGTAAAGCCATACACGAGGACTAATCCCCTCTGAGAGAAGAGGGCCTGCGCAGCACAAAGGACAGCTTAGCCAATCAGCAGCAGATAATCTGGGACAGAAAGACAACTCATGTCAACAGTTCAGCACGGTGTCAACGGGGTCAGAACACTTGAAAATCACTCACGACTTCTTCTCTTTCACCTTAAAAAGCAGGGGTTTGATTTTTTTTGCAGTTACTAAATGAACTGAGTGACACAAAAAACTTTTGCTGCTCCCTCGGATATCAGGGATATCAGAACTCTTGTGGGACCACATGAAAATGTTTTGCTTGTTTTGGTTACAGTTGAACTTGGCCACCACTGCCAGGAAATGACTTGTCAACTTCAAATAAATATTGTCTTAAATAAGCTTTTTGAGCTGTTCTTGGACATGGTGACTATCGACCCTGCCATGGAAAGGTGGCTTTTCCCTTCTCCAAGCCGCATTGATCGTAGTGCCACCCTTTAATTATCCTTTTTCATAAGTAAAGGTCGTCTGTCCCAGCGAGGCAAGACTGCACTGTGGACCAGTTCCCCCAAATTTGGTCATCACAAATGAAGTCAGTGTTTATAGAGTGCAGCACGTGTAGATTTAGCTAGAAATTGGTTTTTGTATTATTAGACACTGCATGTGACAGGTGCACCATGCTGGAGGATGAAAGACCTGAATTTGTGCTTCAGGTTGTGTTCTGAATACACTTGTTATCACAGGATATTATTATTACTAATGTCTTAAATTTTAGTTCTCTTCACCCATCAGTATCTATCATCTGAAGCAGGTTGTAAATCAAGCCAGAATGGTGGTGGGTGTAACTCAGGCTTAAGTAAGCAAAACTAGATAGCTATCGTTTGCTGGACCACGAGATACAAAAAAACAAACCATTAATGATAAAACGGTTTCTCACTGTCGCCATCTTGGTATTGAAATAGACTTCACAAATGGGGAAAGGGCCTGACTATGAAAACAAGGACATTGCAAGCTGAAAAGTTGTTACCCAATAAGCAATTTTTTTAAATCTTATTTTGTATCGAAACCCATTTTGTCATGTTTGTTCTTAAAAAGTACTACTTTACTCATTTACTTGATCATTTACAAAATGAACTTCATGACCTGAAAACTTGCAACTGAGCTCATGAATTCTCCTGAAGAGTGTTTACAGACGTTTTCCTACCAATTAATTTTTGTGTGTGCACACACGAAAATCAGCTTTGTTACGGACATGAGAGCAATTTTAATTAGTTTCCTCCATCCCTGACCATGTCAGGTAAAATATGCCCTGATGCATCAAAGCAGACTTTGTGGGCACTCTGTCACTCTAGTGAGGAATTTTGGTTCACCTACCACACAACAGTGTCACCCTCGCTCCCCGTCTCTTAAACACACACTTGCTTTCATCACTTCACTCAAAGGTCAAAGGTCAATCCTTCATTTCCTCAGCCTGGAGGGTCCCTTTGACTGTTTAGTTGCTGTACATTTAGAAAACAGTTTTTTATAGCTCACGCAGTCACACGTTTACATTCTTAGTTTCATTTGTCTCTACCATCAGTTGTTATCTTTCATTCTAGATGATGGAAAAGTGGAAATTTTTAATTGGATTCACTTTACAATCTTTAGTTAAAAAAACCCCAAAACTACTGCATAGTTTGACAAAGAATAGGGTAAAAAAAAATAGGCAATATCTCTGGTTCTGCAGTATCCGTTTAGGAGTGCTATTTGGCATAGCTTCAGTCTTCCTAGGATTTTTACGTTCTTCTCTCATGTGTTGCCCTTTCCTCTCCTTCCTGTGATTTTACAGGCTCTGCTGAAAGACCCTCTCTACATTGGACTGAGACATAAGAGAGTGCGAGGCCAGGCCTACGATGACCTGCTGGATGAATTTATGAAGGCTGTATCAGACAGGTATAGTCATATTTACCTTCAATTTATCATTTGCCCACTTCCTCTTTGGGGCCTGCTATTGCCATTTCAGCGCGCTGCGCTCTTAAAGGGAAAACGTTAAGCAGTTTAGCATGGTCAGTGCATGCTTTACCATGCAGCCAAATTTCATGGGATTCAGGGGTCTGGAATTTGAGTCACATTGATTCACCTTCTTTGAACTTTTCTGAAGTTTAGGTTGCTAAGAAATATTCATCAAAACTCTTGCTTACTGGCTGAGTGGCAGCATTGGCTTATTGAAAAGTGATCAGAGAGTCAGTGAAGCTTTTGATTTTATTGGCATGTTTCTTTCAGAGAGATGACTGAAACCAGCTGACTAGCTATTGAGTAGGCAGCAACTATTCTGGACCTGTCCACAAACATTTGTTTCTTATTAATAAATCAAGATCGAGCTCTTTTCTTTTCTTTCAAGGATAAAGGGAAAGCTTTGTTGTTTGTCATAAACTGGTTTATACTAAATGGTTGGAGAATGTGACAAAGGATGTGAGAGACGCTCACACAACTGTTGGAGACCTCTGGTTTGTGGAGGAATGTGCCTTTTCTGTGTGTTTACCCCAGTAATCCAGTGCAGGGAAAGTATCTGGTCGTGTTATTGCCAATCAAAGAGAATTTGTAATTGAGATCTGTGATGTCATGTTGACATGCAAAACCTTATTAGTGGTTAGCTTTGGCTTCTTTCACTTGGAGCCACAGTAAGGCACTGAACTATGTAGTGTCTTGTATGGTCACTTACTTGATTTGTATTATCAGAGCTAAAGTTTATTGCTTTTCTGACCTAAAATTATTGTGGACGTGCTATTGCTCCTTGTTGGGACTGGTACCTCCTGTGTTTACTGGAGTCTCAGACATGTCTGTGTACCATGGAGCCATTACAACCACACACACACACACACACACACACACACACACGGCTGGTAGAGCCTCATCCTAACCCAGGGAGGCTGGAGTCCAGAGGGAGAAGTCTGGGTCTGGGCCCCCTCCAGCTGGCAACAGCAAGCCACGACTCTAATAACCGGGTAGCTTCCCAACTACAGGGAACAGCAATGCTTTTTCCCCAAAGGAGCCAGATTGGCGGAAAATGAATAATTATGGGCTCAGAGATTCAATGAATGATTACAGCTCTGCAGTCTTTTAAGTAATATTCATGTTTAGTTTTCTAAGAAACTAAACGTGAACTAAAATACTCCAGATTGACTCATCATCAATAAAGAGAAGTCTTTTTAATCCGCTGTTTCAAGAATACTTCTTAGTTCGAAGGCAAATGGTTGGTGATGCAACCCGCTGTTTGATTTCAGGCCAGACTCCCAACTCCACAAAAGAATCAGGTTCAGTGGTGCTTTTGTCTGCTAGCAGAAATGAAAGTAATTATCTCATAATCTCATTGCTCCTGCACACACCCACAGCACAGGGTAAGCCACAGCTCTGCCGAGGTTCGGAAACTTTGAACTTCACATTTCTGCTCAGCATTTTGATAATTTGCTTCAAACTTAGAAATCCACTTTTATTGCATTGCAACCGTCATTGCAGCTCTACAGTTTTTTTCCTTAAAAAGCTGGAAAATTATTTAAACTTTTTTAGACTCAAGCAAAAAAAGAATACCATTTAAAAAATGGCCATAAAAAGCCCAAAACATAGGCTACGAGATTAAAATTTCTCTGCTTTCTATTTTAAGGTCAGCTCCTTTTGAACTACTGTGATTATTCAGGTAATTCTGTTACTTTTAGATGGCTACCTGCATACTCTGGTGTACCCTGGATTTCTTCCACTGTGTCAAAACAGGGCATCTCAATTTAAATATTTGTCCCACAGAGCCAAGTTGGGGGCAGACATCTTTTCTGTTGGATTTGTTAAGAATTATCTCAACTTTTCAAGTGCATGCAGATACACAACACATTTTTAGGTTGTTCTGTCTGTGGGTCACAGCCGCGTCCCATCACCAGTGGTGACCACCAGCACGAAGGCCACATGGGGTTGACACAAAAGAGTATCTTTGCCCTTTGTGCAAGTTTGTGGTCTATTGTGAAATCACAGTTGTCCACAGTGGTGGTCTGAATGAGACTAGAGAAAGTTATCCAAACCCAGAGAGGTCACAATAAAGTGTTCATTACTTTAAAAGATAGATTTGGGCAAAAAAATAAAAAATAAATAAGAATCAGATGAAGCCAGTGAGATAAACAAGTAAATGGAAATTGTTTGATTTAGATGCCATCTGTGCCATTTTAGTATTAGACACAGGAATTCAAAAAGGAAAGGCCTAAAGTAAGCTGCATTCAACAATTCAGTCCTGTACTGGACCAACACACTGAGATGATAATGAATTATATTAAATAATGCATAATTAATATAACAGATAGCTGACTGAAATACTCAATTCAATTCAATTTTATTTATATAGCGCCAAATCACAACAAAAGTC